CAATATGCAACAATAGAAGTTCAGTGAAAATGTATACTGACGATCAACGTGGTTGCTACAAAACCCAAGAGGATTTCTGTGTGGTTAACAAGTTAGTGTCAAAGAAGTTATAGGGGGCTTCCTCCAGAAAATGGAAGTCTTGCCCAAGTGAAGAGGACCAAAAGGAACAGAAACGTTGGCCAAAGAAATTTCAGTAGACAAAAAGGGATGCTGAAAAAAGAATTCTGAGGAGCGCGTTGCTAAAACCGTAAAAGCAAACAAATTATGTAAAGGCATTAGAAACAGGAGACCAAGCAGGCAAACTGTTGGACCTTTGGATGAGAAGGGAGTCAAAGGTGTGCTCAATGAGGAAAAGGATGTTTAAGAGAAGGTGAAGGTATTATTTGCATCCGTCATCACTGCAGGAGATGTAGAGTAGTTCATCTGTGCCTGATCCAATTTTCTCAGCAAGGGAGTCAGAGGAAATGTGGCAAATAGTGGTGACGAGAGATGAGCACAATAAAAACCGACAAATCGCTGCGTCTGCATGGCATCCATCTGAGAGTTCTTCAAGGACTCACATGTGAAATTGCTGATCTTCTAAGAAAAATATGTAAATCGTCCTTAAGATAAGTAGCTGAAGGCTGGAAAATACTAATGTAAACCAATTTTTAAAAATAATTTGCAGGTTTTTTTGGGGGGGGGGCTGGCAAAGGAAGCTACAAGTAGGTTAGCTCAGTATCTGTCCTGGAAAAAAACTGGTGGAAAAACATTATCAAAGACAGAACAGCCTAGAATAGAAGAACAAGCACGCTGAAGAAGTACCAGCATGGCTTCTGCAACGGTACGTGCTGCCTAACATTTTGGAGTTTTGTTGAAAGTGTCCATAAGCCTAGGTCAAAGGACGGTGGAGGGAATATTGTTTACAGTCATACCTCGTGTTGCGTTAGGTTCATGTTGTGTATCTTCGGCTTGCGAACCCGGCAAACCCGGAAGTGTATATTTCTAGGTTTCACCGTGCCTGCGTGCGCAGAAGTGTTCTGCATGCTTCGCGCATGCGCAGAAGTGTTATGCGTGCTTCGCACATGTGCAGAAGTGCCCTAGCACACTCTGCACTTGTGCAGAAGTGCACCCCAGAACGGATCGTGTCCACAACTACAGGTATCACTGAACTTGGATTTTCAGTTAGCTGTTGATACAGATCCTTCATTAAAGACTCATTGAATAAGCTTAGCAGAGGTGGGGAAAAGGGAGAAGTCCTCTTGGTGTTGTTTAGTCGTTTAGTCATGTCCGACTCTTCGTGACCCCCTGGGCCAGAGCACGCTAGGCACTCCTGTCTTCCACTGCCTCCCGCAGTTTGGTCAAACTCATGCCGGTAGCTTCGAGAACACTGTCCCACCATCTCATCCTCTGTCGTCTCCTTCTCCTTGTGCCCTCCATCTTTCCCAACATCAGGGTCTTTTCCAGAGAGTCTTCTCTTCTCATGAGGTGGCCGAAGTCCTCTTATGTATCATTAATTGGTTAAAAAACCAGAAAGCAGGGAAAGGAATAAATGAAAACTTCTTCCAGTGGAAGGATGTAGGAAGCTGGGTCCCCCAAGAGATCTGCACCGGGACAGATGCTTTTTAACTTGTTCATAAATAATCTGTAATTAGGATAAGCAGTGAGATGGCCAATTTGCTGGTGACACCCAACTGTTCAGGATGGCCAAAGCTAAATAGGATTGTGAGGAGTTCCAAGTAAGTTTATCCAAAGAGGATGAACAGGCATCAAAACGACAGATACAGGTTGAACTAAAACAAGTGTTAAGCGATGAACACTGGGGCAAAAACATCCAAACGTACACTAATGGGGTCTGAAATGGTAGCGACTGGCAATCCTTAGGAGGGCTGGTGGCTTAGAGTTAGCAGTATGGTGTAGTGGTTAGAGTGATGGACAAGGATCTGGGAGACTAGGGTTCAAATATGTACGGATCTCATTAGGTGACACTGGCCAGTCACTATTCCCAGATTAACCTAACCTCACAGGCTTGTTGTGAGGATGAAATGTGTTGTGGGAGAGCCATCTCCACCACCCTGAGCTCTATGAAGGAAGTGTGAAATATGAATGTAGTGGTGAAAATAAAATAATAATAATAATAATAATAATAATAATAATAATAATTTATTTATACCCCATCTGGCTGGGCTTCCCCAGCCACTCTGGGTGCCTTCCAACCAAATATTAAAATACAGTAATGCATCAAACATTAAAAGCTTCCCTAAACAGGGATGCCTTCAGATGTCTTCTAAAAGTTTGGTAGTTGTTGTTCTCTTTGACATCTGGTGGGAGGGCGTTCCACAGGGCGGGTGCCACTACTGAGAAGGCCCTCTGCCTGGTTCCCTGTAGCCTCACTTCTCGCAATGAGGGAACCGCCAGAAGGCCCTCAGCGCTGGACCTCAGTGTCCGGGCAGAACGATGGGGGTGGAGACACTCCTTCAGGTATACTGGGCCAAGGCCATTTAGGGCTTTCAAGGTCAGCACCAACACTTTGAATTGTGCTCGGAAATGTACTGGGAGCCAATATAGGTTTTTCAAGACCGGTGTTATGTGGTCTCGGCGGCCGCTCCCAGTCACCAGTCTAGCTACCACATTCTGGATTAGTTGTAGTTTCCAGGTCACCTTCAAAGGTAGCCCCACATAGAGTGCATTGCAGTAGTCCAAGCTACTAATTTAACTAACACCAGTTGTTCATGTAGTTTGGTGTGATCTACTCTAATGGGCAACAGCTCTCAAGGCTGTTTTTTTCCCCACCAGCTGCAACCTGCAGAATCTGGGACTGTCTGCATGCAGAAATTTTGAATGGCAATGCAGACATTCCAGGTCTGATTATGGGTAGAGCCACTTTGGCCCTGGACTTCTTGAAGTCCAGATAGCAGCGGCAGAAGGGGAGGCATGGGGTGGTGGTGGTGGCGGCAGAGAGCGCGCCAAAGCACAGCAGCTGGGTTACTGCAAAAACAGGCACCCGTCCAGCACACCCGGCCTCCTCTTAAACAGGCTTCCTTATTTCTCATACAATAAAAATCTTGATCCACTTAGTGACACCACCGTTTCAAAAAAGCATCAAATAAACACTGGGCTCGAAAACACTTTCTCTCCTCCCCACCCCTTTCCCTTCCCTCGTTGCTAGCTGCGAAGTTCACATCTCAAGCCTGGTACTCTAATGGAATGTCTAATGCTCAGCAGCTGCACATTTTTAATGCAAAGCTGGGGGCGGAGCCTTGAGAATTATAGAGAGAGAGATATACACACACACACATGCAGGCAACATATGGTTTTATGTAATCTTGCCATGAATTTTTAAAAAGGAGTGTCCTAATTCATGCTGGACGGAAAGAGCTTTTCCAGCCGGTCCTCTGTGGCTACAGCCCCACTTGCGTGGAGTGTGCGATGCCTTATTGCCGCAGTGTTTGCAGCAAAAGCAGCCCTGGCGCAGAGGCTTAGGCAAAAGAGCCTCTTTTATGGCCAGCTAGCCAATGGCTAGGGACGTGGGTGGTGCTGTGGGTTAAACCACAGAGCCTAGGGCTTGCCGATCAGAAGGTTGGCAGTTCGAATCCCCGTGACGGGGTGAGCTCCCGTTGCTCGGTCCCTGCTCCTGCCAACCTAGCAGTTCGAAAGCACGTCAAAGTGCAAGTAAAATAGGTACCGCTCCGGTGGAAAGGTAAACGGCATTTCCGTGCGCTGCTCTGGTTCACCAGAAGTGGCTTAGTCATGCTGGCCACATGACCTGGAAGCTGTACGCCAGCTCCCTCAGCCAATAAAGCGAAATGAGCACCACAACCCCAGAGTTGGCCACGACTGGACCTAATGCTCAGGGGTCCCTTTACCTTTCCCTTTACCTAGCCAATGGCTATTGTCGGGAAAGGCCAGGCAAGGCAAAGGTTAGACTGACACAACTAGGGACCGATCAAGTCCAACACAACCTACCAGTGGACTCCTGGGGTGCAAGCATGGCTTTCTTAATAATAATAATAAATTTTATTTATACCCCGCCCTCCCCAGCCAATACCGGGTTCAGGGTGGCTAACACCAGGTATAAAAACAATTGATTAAAATACAACTTGAAAACAAGTTTAAATTACAACATTAAAATGCAGCCTCATTTCAGTAGAAACTCAAATCTTGGGAGTTCCCCAGCCAGATGTCAGGGAGAAAGATGTCCCAGCTTGAGTAACAACCCCCACCCTGTCTGCACACTGACTTCTGATGTCAGAGACCGAAATACATGGAATCATAGAATTGCAAGGTACCCTGATGGTCATCTAGTCCAACCCCCTTCAATGCAGGAATCTCAGCTAGAGCATCCATGGCAGATGGCTATCTAAACTCTGCTTAAAAACCTCCAAGGAACCTCCCATTCTGTGGGGCAGTTTTTAATAGGTAGGGAAATACCTATTAAACACAATTTATCCCTCCAGGAGCCCCCATGTGGGGGCTGAAGAGAGTTTTAAAATCCCATTCTTGGCAGCAAAATTAAAAGCATAGGCATTAGGGTGTAAAACCTTGTTTTGAGCAAATCGACCTATGAAGGAAGCTGGCTTCCCTTTTGTACCCTGCTTAATAAAGCACTGGGCAACAAATTGGAAAGTAAGCTTAAAAATATAATCTACTTATTTATTATCATGCATGGGTTTCACAGCAATGGCAGCAGTAAAAACTATGCAAGCAAAATACTTATATTCACAGGATAACGAGCTTCAGGCTTGTGCCTGGAGTAAACCCAAGGTACATCTGCCCTTATGGCTGCTCACAGGAAGAGAGCTCAGGAGGAACAGGAAGTACTGCATGCACCTTCCTCTCCAAGAAAAGAGGGGAAATGACATCACACAGAGCCCTCTCTACCAATTGCCTTTCTATGGTCTGAGTATCTGCCTATCAGCAGTACAGCTCTGTGGACTTAGCCCCTTCTCACGCTAACTACCAATAATACGCATTTGTTAGGTTTGGCTCTCTGTCCACTTTATCATCATCACCATTTTCCAGAATAGCTCAGTTGGTAGAGCACAAAACTCTTAATCTCAGGGTTGTGGGTTCGAGCCCCACGTTGGGCAAAAGATTCGGGGGGTTGGGCTAGATGACCCTCATGGTACCTTCCATGGAATTCTAGGATTCCATGCACATATACCATGACCTCCTTTCCTTAAACTAAAAAGTCTCAAACATAGCCATTGAGTTGCCACTGTTTCCTGTAGTAGCTTCTACTCCTTCCGAGAATTTGCAAGTGAATCTCAAAAGAACAAGCACATCTTGCTGTATTCCCCACCAACCTTCTAGCCTGGCACATACTCAGAACAAACAAATGTTTCCAAACTTTCAACCGAGGCTGAGGGAAATGATCAAACAATGAAGAAACCGCCCGCGTGTGGAAATAATCAGCAGTGCTTACTTCTGGAGAGAGAAATCCACAATGCTCCAGCAGTTTCTGATGCTCTGATCAAAAACAATTGGTTTTGCGAGCAAACATCAGAGCTGCATTTTCTTTTTCACCTGCAGCTGCTATCATTTTCTTATCAATCAACACCTTGTGACAACCCATCCCCCTCGGGTGAAAGGAGGTTTGTGGGGTTTTTAAAAAATAAAAATAAAATAAAAATAAGAGAACCTATGAAAGATCACTGGGTTGCCCTTAAGGGGTAAAAGCAGCAGCTCATCTTTACACGGTATTGACGAACAGATAGACAGTGAAGGAGGTTATTCAATAGACTTGGAAGATTCACTATAGACAGAAGAAAGGACTTCTTCACACAGCAAGAAGTTAAACTATGGAATTTTCTCCCGCAAGAGCCAGTAATGTCCAACAAGAGAATCAAGCAAATGAATGAGTCTGTTAGCGGCTATCAGGTGCAATGGTTATGTTCTCCATCCTCTAATGCAGCGGTTCTCAACCTGTGGGTCCCCAGATGTTGTTGGACTACAACTCCCATCATCCCTGAGCTCTGGCCTTGCTAGTTAGGGGTGATGGGAGTTGTTCTTCTGGTTACTAGCTGCGGGGAATCACAAGTGAGAAGAGTGCTGTTGCATTCAGGTCCCACTTGTCGGCTTCTCATTGGGGAATTCTGGTTGGCCATGGTGAGAACTTAATGCTGGACTAGATGGGTCTTTGTTCTGATCCAGCAGGGCTTTCCTTATATTCTTAAAAATGTACACATGCAGGACACACCACTTAAAATACCTGAAGGAGCGTCTCCACCCCCATCGTTCAGCCCGGACACTGGGGTCCACCTCTGAGGGCCTTCTGACGGTTCCCTCACTGTGAGAAGTGCAGTTACAGGGAACCAGGCAGAGGGCCTTCTCGGTGGTGGCACCTGCCCTGTGGAATGCCCTCCCGTCATATAACAAACAACTGAAGACACCTGAAGACAGCCCTGTTCTGGGACGTTTTTAATGTTTGATGCCTTACTGTGCTTTAATTTACTGGAAGCTCCCCAGAGTGGCTGCAGTAACCCAGTCAGGTGGGTGAGATATTATTGATATTATTATTATTAAAGGCTCAGAACTGCAAATAATGAAAAATTAAAATGGTAGAAGTCCTTCAAATGATTTAGAATTGCGGGAGAGGAATCCTTGTGGCATTCAACACGGTTTGGGGTCAAAAAAAGTAGCCTGTAACGTTCTTGTCCACATTGACCTTGTCGATATGGCAAAGCCAGAGACTAAAAGGGCTCGGGGACCACCGACAGATGTATGCAGTGTGGGGGCACCTGCCTCTAGCAGAAGCTGTGTCTTTAAGAAAGCATATTTCAAGGGTTGGCACCTGCTGAAGTGCCTGTCCGTGGCAGTTAGCTTCAGAATATGCACACTGAGTGGCATGAAAGGAAGACAGGCAGGAACGAACAATCCACCGAGACCAGAGGTTATTTTTAGAGAGAAAGCTTCTCCAGCCAACATTTAATAAATAAGTAACGGAGAAGACCTCAAAGGAAGGCAGCAGCCGCTGGGGCCACGTGAGTTGCTTCCTTAGCCATGAATCTCAAATGCGAGGGCTTTGCAATTTCCCCTTCCTTTAATGCACAGAGTGGTTGAATTTCCCTCCTCTACAATCTCAGTTTTATGCTGGAAGCCGAGCAATGATGGTGGGGAGGGACTGCCACAATTTAGGGATGTGTTCCCCTGAACACACCCAAAGAATCTGGGGAAGTTGCAGGGATTCATAGAGCAGGGGTAACCCGGATGGCTTCAAAAGATTAGACAAATTCATGGAGGGAGGGTGTAGGAGGAGTTAGGATTTGATATCCTGCTTTATCACTACCCTAAGGAGTCTCAAAGTGGCTAACAATCTCCTTTCCCTTCCTCCCCCACAACAAAGACTCTGTGAGGTGAGTGGGGCTGAGAGACTTCAAATAAGTGTGACTGGCCCAAGGTCACCCAGCAGCTGCATGTGGAGGAGCGGAGACGTGAACCCGGTTCCCCAGATTACGAGTCCACCGCTCTTAACCACTACACCACACTGGTTAAAGGTAAAGGGACCCCCGACCATTAGGTCCAGTTGTGACCGACTGGGGTTGCAGCGCTCATCTCGCTTTATTGGCCGAGGGAGCCGGCGTACAGCTTCCGGGTCATGTGGTCAGCATGACTAAGCCGCTTACGGCGAACCAGAGCAGCACACAGAAATGCCGTTTACCTTCCCACCGGAGCGATACCTATTTATCTACTTGCACTTCGTGCTTTCGAACTGCTAGGTTGGCAGGAGCAGGGACTGAACAATGAGAGCTCACCCCGTCGCGGGGATTCGAACCGCCGACCTTCTGATCGGCAAGCCCTAGGCTCTGTGGTTTAACCCACAGCGCCACCCGCGTCCCTTAGGGGTAACTTGGATGGCTTCAAAAGAGTAGACAAATTCATGGAGGGGAAGGCTATCAAATAGTACCTAGTCATATTGGTTATGTTCTGCCTCCATTGTTCGAAACAGCAATGCTTTGATCCAGCTGGGATCTCACAGATGCTACTCTCACCTCTTTGAAAGAAAACACAAATGAGACAAATAAATATTATGATTAGCTATGAATTCACCGTATGGTTTGGGGCAAGCCATTGCCCGTTCTTTAAAGACAACTAAATATAATTATTAGCTATGAATTGATTGCATGGTCTTAGGCAAGCAAGTCTATTGCCCATCCAAATCAAGGTTAAATTCACTTCCACGCGGCACTCCATGCAGCGGGCGATTTAAGTCATGTGCAACCACTCATGTTCTCTGCGCAGAACGTTTTTCCTCTTGCTGCCACCATAAACCTTCTCCCCGCTTCGCACAATGAAGAAAAATCCTCTTGTATCTACATATTCATAAGAACATGATCAGTACACCAAATCCAATTAACTTAATGGACAGGCTCTTTTGAAATACATGCACCACTCAGAGAGAGAGGGGTGGGGGTGGAGAGAGAGAGAAAAAGGCAGCGAATAACACTCTGCAATCAATACATTCCCGTGTTCTAGGTCAAGGATTGCAAGATTTTTTACTTTAAGGAAAAGAGCTTCTGTTCAAAACTACCACAGCAGGGAAACAATCAAAGGAACACAAAGCAGAAAGAACAAGGAATTCCTGGCAACCTGTCCTTCACAATGCAAATGCCGAGAGAGATGCCATGCAAGAGTGTGCAATGCTTGAAACCAATAGTATTGACCTCAAACACTGGAATGAAATGAATGGGGAAAGTATCATTCGCGAAAGAACACACACCGTCCTTGGCTGGTGAGCCGGCACTAGGAGGATAACAGGGTGCCGAGCAGAATTCTTTACGGAAATGTCAAGGCTAGCGGTTTATTGTGCATGTTTGCAAAGGTTCAAAGACAAAGATGCTGTCAACAGAGAAACAAGAACAAAACCAGTTAGGAAAACAATGCTGTCAGTCTTAACTGTGCTAACAGCGCTGTGTAGGTGTAAGTATTGGGGACAGGGGCTCAAACACTTCAAGCGTGGGTTTTGCCGAGAAATCGCCCAGGGTTAACAACAGAGTCTTTATTTTGGGGGAACAACGAGCGTCAGCTCAAGAGTAAGCCGAAGTCTGGGATGAATGCAATTGGAAATAGAGAGGCAGAAGGCAGATTTGGATTTCTGGACGGTTTGCATTAGATCAGAAGGAATTCACTGTTTTCCGGTTGTTTATAATAATAATAATAATAATAATAATAATAATTTATTATTTATACCCCGCCCATCTGGCTGGGCTTCCCCGGCCACTCTGGGCGGCTTCCAAAAGAATATTAAAATACTATAATACATCAAACATTAAAAGCTTCCCGAAACAGGGCTGCCTTCAGATGTCTTCTAAAAGCCTGGTAGTTGTTGTTCTCTTTGACATCTGGTGGGAGGGTGTTCCACAGGGAAGGCGCCACTACCGAGAAGGCCCTCTGCCTGGTTCCCTGTAACTTGGCTTCTCGCAGTGAGGGAACCGCCAGAAGGCCCTCAGTGCTGGACCTCAGTGTCCGGGTAGAACGATGGGGGTGGAGACGCTCCTTCAGATATACTGTTTAACAACAAGCAGCAAGAAAATGGCTTCCACCCACCACTGCTGGGGTGAATAAAGCATGGAGCAGTCCGAAGTGGTGTTTCGTATGAAAGGGTTTCTAAGTTCCATTCATTCCTAGGCTCAGAATTCTGTAATTCTAAGTCTATGAATATTGCACCAGGCTTCAGATTGCAGATCTCAAGGTTCTGGTTTCAGGGGTGCAGAAAAGCTTTACTTCCCCTTGCATAGCTCGGTCGGTGGCTCAGTCAGGGTCATGGGTTCAAGCCCTACACTGGGCAAAATATTCCTGCATTGCAGGGGGTTGGACTAGATGATCCTCGTGGTCCCTTTCAACCACAGTTCTATGATAACGGTATGAGAAGTGTTATAGTGAAGCTGAGTGCTGGACGATTCAGGACAGAGAAAAGAACGGGATTCTTCATGTTAGCACATAGTTAAATGATGGCATTCACTCCCACAGGAGGCAATGATGGCCACGAATGTAGGTACCTATAAAAGAGGATTATCATGGAGGAGAGGTACATTGATGGCTGCTAGCCATGATGGCTATGGTCTGCCTCCACATTTGGAGGCAGAAATGC